TCATAGCAAATGTATGATTTGCATGTTGTAGAGACAGATGGTAGTTAGTAATGTAAAGGGCTCCACTAGTAGGTGTGTGGTATAGGTCTGTTGTACGCCCTCAGTTGATTTGTTCAAGGTTCTGGTGTGCGGAAGTGTTATGAAGCTTCACGATTTGGTGTCACTTTTGCTAGTTGTGTTGATGGGCGAGCCTGTGTGTTTGTTCAGGATGCCTGAGTGTATTTGGGGTGCAGATATGTGTTATTGTGTTTAAAAGGAAGCTATTTGACACTAGTGATGTGCGTTCTTTTTTCTGCATTTGAAGTCGTGGAAAATGTGGCTTTGTGTTGAGCGTTATTTATTATGACCTCACAATAGAATACAGGACAATGCGTACCTCTTTATTTCGCGGACTTTATAATTCCATTTTTTTTATGTTTGGTTGTTTTTGTGCATTGGGTTGGTGGGGGTGTTGTTGAGAGTGTGGGATTGGTGTGGTGCTTTTTTGCTCCCATGTTTTTCGGGACGCTGCGGGTTATTATTAGGTTCTTTGGGTGTACGGGTTGCGGATAATTCTATTGAGTTTTTAACGATGCCCAAACTGGCCACTCACCGCGGAACCCGTTGTATGTTCCTGAATCTATTGTGATTTTTTGATTCTGGTTTGGACTGATCGCACTAGTTCATCTTTTATACTCTATTGGGGTTCTTCTATGTGTGCCGGGTTGTTCGCGGCGGGCACCGCTATCTTTGTAAGTCGTGTGTTTGTCTGGCTCTGATTGATGGTTTTTTAGCATGGTAAATGTATGTGGTGCCTTGGAGAGTTGGATGACAGTGTAGCGTGTGTGTTAATAAGTGGGATGACCTATGAGAGTGGATGTTACGAGAGACATTAACGAGAGCATGTTGGAGACACGTTGTGCCCCGTAACCATCTGGAGAGGAGCAGCGTTGAGCTGTTTAATCATCTGCACGTGAGTTGGTTTTTACGTTTTGCGCTTGGGTAGTTTGTGTGAAAGTTGGTTGTGTGAATAAGGTGGGTTGTGTAGCTTGAAAGAGCGCTATGGTGTGGGTTATATGCTATGTGGAGTGCGAGTGTAGGTGTAGCAGGGGGAGTTTGGGGTGGGGTTTGTTTTCAGCAACCAGTCACATTGTTTGGAGTACTGAGTGCTATCTAATATGAGTAACCGTGTATACGGTTTATTTGGCAACTAATGCAACTTGTTGTGTATATATATGTGTTATGGGCTTCCTTCAATAAACATGGCTCATTTTGCTTGCTTTGTCTGGGATCAATGCCCGTTCTTGTGCAGCTGGAATCCACTTTACTATTGGGTAATTAAGACGATTAAAAAGCGCTTGCAGCTTAGTAGTGGATGCCTAGGTGGTTTATAGAGGTTGGAGTGTTCACCTAGTTCATTTTTTTTTTGCTGTTTGAGGAGTGAGTTTGTGTTTTTTTTTTTAGTTATTTGTTTTTGGGAGATGGTTGAAGTGCGGCTTATATATGTACACATCATTCAATTTAGCTGCTGCGGCTTATATTCAGGTGCGCCTTATAGTCCGAAAATTACGTTACTTTATTGACCAAATTAAACTAGCATCTTTCTAACCTGGGTGTTTCCTCAGCATCCTCGCCAAGCTTTCGATTATGCTGATGCAGTCAATGTCCTGTGGAAGCAATTGATGAAAATCATTACTTTTTGATGGATTTAGAGATTACCATAAACCTCATGACAATTCACTATAACCAATAACTTCAACATCCACCAACCTCATCGTGTTTATTCCTCAATGATTAAAGCAGAAACACTGTATACCAACCAACATTATTTTTTCTGTTTCTATCCATTAATGAACTACACTCATGCAAGCATCTGAAAGTAGGACATTCGTCATGTCACCACATTTAAATAACTTTCAAAAATGACATCCCATAATTAAACAGATAGCTTACATCCATTGTCTCCTGCCCCTCCAGCACCATGCAGATGTCTAGGTCACTCTGCCTGAAGCCATAGCCATTTTTTGATGATCCGAACAGTTGTAGCCGGGCTCCTGTCCATCAGAAAACATGTTGAGTTAATCGTCAGTGCATTCTGATCCAAAATACGAGTTGTTAATATGAAAGTAAACAAAATGCAGTGTTAAATTGTACAAAATGAAAGACGCTGAACAGTAAAGACAGTGGTTTCCTTCACCTGCATACTGCCGCCTGACAAAGGTCTCCAGGTCTTGAAGGATGTGCTCTCTAACACCCACTTCCAGCTCATCAGGGGCGAAGTCAGCTAAAAACAAAAGAAGAAAAAAAAGAGTCATCCTCAGATCGGACCCAAGTCCTACACTTTATTTGAATGATTTCCCCAAAGTGAAATGAAGAAGAAGTCATAGGAAACATGTGCAAACATCAATAATACGTTTGACTTATTTTATATGAATGCAACTATTTACTGAATCCGACTCAAACCTCACCCAAAAGAAGACAAATATTTGGTACCACAATCAAATCTATCCAATAATAATAATCTCATCATCTCTTCATATTTCTGAAATCACATAATACTCACTGAGGCACTGTTCACAGACTTTGTTGAGGACAACAAGAAACTCTGGTGTCATTGAGGGCAAAGGATCCAGCTCCACTTTCTTGAAATCTTCGGGACAGTCTTTCTTCAGATGTCCGTCGCGCTTGCACAAGTTGCACACGACCATGTGGGACTAAGGGAGATTGGGAGAAGTTAAGTCTAGATGATGGACACAAGCTCTTAAGTTTGAAAAGTTCCATTCATTTTCATACATATTAAGAATGTTGCTTGCAAAAGTGGAATGTATTAATACAAATGTAAGGCCTACCTTTCCCCTGGTGAACACTTGCTTGGTAAACACATAGGTCTGCTTCTTCTTCTGTTGGTTTTTATTTTCTGCGCTCTGATCCTTAACTGCATCCTCTGATAAAGTTGCTGGTGAGGGGCTCACAGGTTCCATCTCCACCTCTTCGTCATCCATTGAACCCGGTGTGTCCAGATCCGGACCCTCCTCATCAGACAAAAGCTCGTCCCCTGAGATTTCGTCCACGGGAAAAATGTCCTCATCCTCTGTAGTGAAGCTGTCCAGGTGATGTCTGCTATGTGCGCCCTCATTGTTATCCTCATCCTCCTCAGAGAGACTGCTCTTACCCTGGTCCACTTTTTCCTTCTCTCGTTCTTCATCCGAGTCACTGAATTCTTCAACTTCCTCTTCTTCTTCAATAATGCAATCGGAGTCTTCAGGGCCGTTTTCTCCAGCTTTAGATTGATCTGCATGTTGTGACTGGACGCTGAGCTCACTGAAATCTGATGTGATATCCGATGCATTGGAAGCCTCTGCGTTTGCCCCTCCACGCTGTGCCTTTGTCTTGACATTAGCAGCTGGCGTGTTGAGTGGCAGGGCAAAGTACTTGTAGGTGTTCTTGAGGCAGTGGACGATGTACTCGTACATTTGCTGACTGTTCACGGTACGAGCCACATTCCTCTTCACAGAAAATGGGTCTGAACACAGAAACAGAGATAGTACTGAAAGTTAAACCTTGTAAGAGTTATAAATAGTAAACACAAGAGTTGTTAAATGTTATAGAATCAGAGTAACAACTCTAAAGTCAACAAAATCCCAGAACCACACTAATAATCCAGTGGAATATCTTTTACTCGCTGCTTCTTTATTTCAACCACGGAATTAGCGTAGCTCTAATAGTGATTTTAGTGCAAAAACCTAAATTCAGACTACAAAATAACAAAGATTCTGACCCTCCACGGCGATACGTTTCTTTGGCCAGTCTTTCAGCTCTCGAGAGAGGACAGGGCTGGTCCGCACACTGATTACTTTATCAGCCAGGTCGAACTCCAGTGAGTAGAAGCGGAGCATTTCCACCCAGAGAAGCCCAACTTCCACTGGCGGGTGAGGGCTCTGGAACACCAGGGGAACCTGCAAGAAATCACAGATATTACACACTTTCAGGTGTCAGTGAGAGCGGATTAAAAACATCATACTATGAAACCCATGGTTATATAAAGTTCTAGCCTTTACAGTAGTGAAACAATGATAAAAAAAACTTATAGGAACAGCATATTCATCATTAAAACTATACAATTGTTATCACAAACTTCAAAAAATAAGGAAGTGTTGTCATGATTACCTTTCCTTTAATACAGGAGCCCTCTGCTGGCTGTTCTTTAGAGGCAGGGGTGTAAGCCCAGTGTACGTGACCATCCTCTGTGTGTGTGAGGTTGAAGTCCGACAGCCTGCTCAGTGAAAACACCTTAATCTAACAAATGAAGAAAGTCAGGTGATTAGATTAAACTACAAAAATGAACAATACTGATATTATTTCTCTGTATTCCATTTCAAGCTCAAGATGAACATAAAAGCAGACCTCTTGTTTCAGGTAGGTTGGCAAGAGGGACTCTTTGCGCTGCTGTAAGAAGTAGATAACCATGAGGGCGAAGACGTACGGGGGCAGCCCACCTTCCTCTGCACGGTCGATATCACAGATCTAAGCCAGAAGAGATGTGATGTTTTACCAAAGAATCTTAGGCTTAAAACACCATTATTTTCTGTTGTGTGTATAATATGAGCCAACAGTGTCACAACTGGAGACATACCTTTGCCCAGCGTCTTAGGCCCAGAACCAGTGGGAGGAGAAGGGGCTCCTGACTGGACAGAGCAGAAAGATAGGAGGTGGTCTGGAACGCGTTTTCATTCCCAGCACTCACTCTGCAGGTCAGGCCACTGTTGAGAAAAGATTAACAGTTTCAATGTACTGCTCATGTGTGTGTTGTGATGTAACCCTGATATGAACAGTTGTCAATCCATTTTTTTTCTCTCTTTACATGTAACAAAACTCATTCCTGTAGTTTCTTAACGTCCTGAAAAAACGGAATAACAAAAGATCATTCAGAGTTTAACACATGAAGTGGACAAGCAAATCTATACCAACCTCTTTTTCTCTTTGCACACGACCACAGGCACCCTGGCATGGAAATCAGCTTCCATATCAATGAAAATAGCTGAGGACACAACAAGACATGTTCCATTTAAAACTTCCATGACAGTCTGGCATTACATTTGATATGGTTTTAACAAAGACAAATATTGCGCTTAAATAAAAAAGAGGTGACTCACGGCTCACAGAGAGGCTCTCTTTGACCAGCAACAAGACGTCTGGCTGATGCATCTGCAAATACATTCCACTTTAAGTCTTAATACAGATATACAATATAGAAAAGGTGCAAAATAATAGCGATTTAAATATTTTCATAACCATACAATTCTCCAATTCATTATCATGAAGTGGTGTTAAATAAATATCCAACAGCAATATGAACAATTCTGAACCGCTGCAGTCTTTTCAAACTGCACACACAATATTCATTCCACTAATTTAAAGTGTGAAAATAAAGTTAGATCATCTTCTTATCATTTGAATTGTGTATCTTTATATACATAACCACTATAGAGGACATTAACAACATTAAGGATGTTGGATAATATTTCAATTTTTGTACACAATTTGGGATAGTTTCATTTTTCAGGAAAATAGTTTAAAGGGTTATTCTAGAGACTTGTTTAGCAGCCTTCTATGAGCTGAGCCAAAAAACTGAAAGCTAAACAAAAAAAATGCAACATGATCCGTTGCACTTCTAATTCACACTGTTGAAATCACACTGGGCTACTCACATGAGGCGGATACTGAATGTCAATATTGACGTCAGCATCCTTAAATCCAAACTTGGTGCAGGAGGATCCATATAGCCTGAGCCTGATCTCTACAGATGATAGAAAGAGAGGGAATACAGTTGTTAACATTAGAATGTACATCACAAAATAATAAACTTAAGTAAAGCATAAGAGCCAACAGCTTGCTTTCTACAAAGCAAAATCCCCACTCATGAAGGAATCAGGTCACGTCTCATGGCTACCTAAGACATATTTCATCCCCAGGTGACCTACCAGGCAGGACGGACAGAAGGAGGTCTTGCATCATGGAGACAACACATTGTCTCATCTCAACATCCTGGTCATTCATCCCATGTTCCCGGACAACCTCCTCTAATGCTGCACTCACTGCACTGATCAGCTCTGGACCAGGAGGCAGAATCTCAGTGAGCATCACCTGCTCTTGCCTCTCCTATAAACACAAACAGGAAAAAAAGAGCATCAACACAATTTTAAGGGCAAAAGAATATTGTCCCATGAGAGTACATCAGCATCACCCGCCTACAAACGTTTACGGTTATAATCATCACTGTGATTTGCATAATAACACTTTTTCTTACCCTGGCCCTCTTCTTGTGCCGTTTGTCTCTGATATGTCTGTAAGCGTCAGACACAGACTCCAGCAGAACGTCACACAGAGAGCAGGTGTAAAGTGCACTGGGGTTGCTGTGGGACCTCTGAACCATTAGAAAGAAGGAGAGAGATCAGACAAAGGCTGCAATAGTTACACTTTCATGGATATTCTTAGCTCATCTGTGCCCCATAAAGACTTCACACATTCTTTATGAAACAATTCAAATAAACTAGTCCTAGTCATGTACAAAAAACAAAACTATCAAAGCACATTATTGCTGCAACTTCTGCATTGCCTGTTCGTTTGGTATAAATCATCACAAAACAGGGAAATACGCCCAAACACAACTTATGTTAAGGCCTGTCTGACCAACAGTTTAATAACCATACATATCAAAATGTGCAACTCTGCAATATCAAGAAAAGCAGCAAATTCTCACATAAGAACTGGGGAAACCCCATTTTTTTTTGTCACATCCGCTCGAATTATGACTGGAGCACAGAATCAATCATCAAATATTTGCGGATGCATTTTTATCTATTTATAATTTCAGCGAAAGCGTATAAACATAAGACTGTATTCGTGGGTTAGCACACAGATCCTGTACCTTCTTCAGGCTGTAGATCTCATCTTTGTTAAGCCGCTTCTCTGCCTGTCGAAGGGTTTGCAGCTCTTTGGCTGAGAGTGTTGACTCGTCAATCAGAGGGCCCATGTTCTCTTCAGCATAAGCTCTATTCTTGTTTCTGTTTCTCCGTCTCCTCCCTTTGGAAAGAAAAAATACACGTGGTAAACAAGTTTCGTGGAACTTATCATTAATGTGTATAGTACATCATGGATGATGGAGTACTAGCCTTCAGTCAGACTCAAGCTTTATTAGCACTGATCATTCTTAACTGGATCAGGAAGCACCTTATGTTAAGGTGTCAATAGAGACGGCTGCATTATAACTTGGTTAAGTGGGTATAATCTTAAAACTGTCCCACTCTGGCTTATTAAACCACACCTGCTTTATGAGCATTACCATCATTTTCATCTCTCCCTCCCTGCTCCCGGTCGTCCCTTGGCCCTTCTCCCTGGTTACTTCTCCTCCATTGTTGCTGGGAGCGCTCTCTCCAGTTTTCCTCTCGTGTCCCACCACTGTTCTCAGGACCCGAGGACCACCGAGGGTCATCCTTTTGTGAGGGGCTGTGACCACCTCTGAATCCGCCAGGGGAATAGCCCATGGGCCCCATTCCTCCCTTCTTGGGACTGGCCCGGTAGGGTCCGCCCTGGTTCTTGCCTCCCTCTGATCTGTAATTCTGTCCTCGACCCTGGTCCGGGGTCCTCCAGGGTTCTGCTCTCTCTGCTCCTGGTCCTGATCCTCTCTCCCATCCGCCTTGCCTACCCCGGTAAGGCCTGCCTGAATTTTCCATGGTTCACTTTTGCTAAAACTGCTGGAAGAAATGTTCAGTTAATGAGAAAATCCCGCATTTTTTAAAACATTCCGACATGCACTTTATTTTGGAGAAGAAGCCAGTATTAGTTGTATTTGTATTTAAACTGCTCAAAGCTTTCACATCACATCGTGTATTTCAGACCAGACTGTTGCACAACTTTGCAGCTAAATAAAACACAGCTACAATTTCAAGCTTATTAAGTGGAGCCAACAGATATATCTGATGATAGATTGTGTCATTTTAGCCCCGTGTAACTTGATTGTCCCACTGAAAACTCAGGTTAACCGTTAACTAACTTTTATTGTAGCTGTGACACATGACAGTACTAAACTACGGATGTGAAACCCGTGGAAAACCTAACCTTAATAGCATGATGATTCTCATGTTACCAAACATCTATCTTACTTGTATAACATCACCGCAGGGTTGATTGAGGTGACTAAAGTTACATTGCAAACACTAAGGTTAGCTAACTAACTTAACACAGGCGGACTTCGGAAGCTTGTTTTGCATGGTGTTAGCTCAAGCTAGCTCACTAGCGTATGCATTCTGATTTCCCAGTTACCTTACTTCTTCTTATTTCTTTAATTGACGGCGTATCACTTCATCACGCATGTCGCTAACCCACCATCAACAAATGAGTGTTAGTCACCTTATTTAACGTTAGCTTACATATAAATCGCAACCAGCTCACGTTACCGTTGCATATTTAGCTTACCAGCTAGGACAGCTAACGGTAGCTACACAGCTAACAACAGCTAGCATTAATGTTGATTTCATAGTTTCCTTCAAACTGCTCAATCTGCAACGGCGTCAAATGCAGCGATTAGTAAAACATAAGCTAAAATGATCTGCAACGAATAATAAAGTCATTAAAATACCTTGTGTACGTCTGCAGAGGGCATACTTGAAGCGCTCGTCTTGCACTGGAGTTTGAAAGATGACGTACGTCTGTTTTGTAGTCGTTTTGTAATTCCGCCCACAGCAAACCCAGGACAGGTCGCTCTGAATTTTAGTAGACAATATAATTTTAACTGTTAGGAGTATCACTAATATTTAAGTAGGCCTACATCTCTTCAGCAATCTGAAGCAAAGTCCAGAAAATGTCTGAAACCAGTTGTGGATGAGGTTACTGGAATGCCATTGTTATGGATAAACAATGACACGGTTGTTTTCCACTTGGCTACTATTTTGAGAATAATAACTCTGAATAAGATAAAATAGTTTGGTACAAAAATTGTAGGAAAACCATATTTTTACAAATAATACATTTAAATTATTTAACCACATGTGGAACACCTCAACATATTTATATCATGTGCAAGTAGCCAATGACACTACAACACCCTTTCACGTGTGTATTATGTGCAACTAACAACACCATTTTACTGAATCATAATAACAATCTGATTACAGTGCAAAAAACATTGTTTTGGTTTAATACATATCAAAAAACCTAGGCCAAAATTAATGCAAACAAGTAAAGTAGCCTACATTTTAAAATAGCCTACATTTTAAAATCCAAAACATAATAGGCACATATGGTTTTGAGTTATTTATTGAGAAATATGAGATAACTCCTGTAAAAAAAAAAAGCACAGCATTTCACATTTCAAAAAGTCACACAGGTGCTACATTGTTGTGAATGTACATTTGATATTCATGAAGTGAAACATCAGGGTATAGCCAACATGTGATGCATAGTTGTTGTATTTTTACATTTTGACGTTGCCCAATCCTTTTTGTAGCATGAAATAGGCCTACAGAGAGCAAGCAGTAACATATGGTTCAAGGTTTAATTAACTCTACTTGGAATAAGTGATTGTTTAGCCTCGGTTGCCCAGGCGACAGGAGAAGGGTGCGCTGCAGGAGCGGGGATGGCCCCGGGAAAAGTGATACGCAAACCAGACTCCCCTCACCCAACACCTCCATCCCACAAGCAACATCCAGGAGACTGCTGCTCTGTCAGACCTGGCCTCAGTTATGCAAAGCCAGTAGAAGCTCCAGTTAGAGATCGATTATATTGGACATGGTGTCATTTGTGAACGGATCCAAGACTGTTTCGAAACGGAGACGCACCATTTGCGCATCTCCTTCAAAAGAAGCGCTCACAGCGGCCCATCAGAGGCAGCCTGCCCGGCACAGGAAGCAGACATTCATGTCCAAGTTGAGTGACTCCGGGTTCGAGGAAGATTTAGGGTCCTCCCCGATTTCATCCCCGGCTCGGATAGATGTGTCTCCTCTGCGTTCAGACGAGCCTACTTCTGGTCGGCTGTCTAACTGGTACATGCAGTACGGGGACATCGGTTTCAAGATTCAGATGGACAAAGAGGCGCGGTTTTATTCCTGCAAAAGCTTGGCACACCAGCCACAAGTATGCTATTACACATGTTTGACTTTATGCACTGTTAGTATATTTTTGTCTAGCATATTGCACTTAAATTCAGCCAGTTATGGAAACCATTACTCAAAACGTGTAATTTATTTAACCAATTGTATGAGTTAGGCTACTTGTCTGTCTCTATTTATTTTTATTTGTTTCTAACAACCACATGGTAAGCCTGTATTAACTATGAACACCTGCAATCCTAAACAAAATATTTTGCCATCTGGCTCATATGCCCCTGAGATAACAGCCTTTAAGTTTGTTAAGACAGACAATATGTCAACGTTATATATAAGTTTCGTTATGTGGCACCAACTTTGACAATTGAGATTACTTTTTCATTGCAAACCATAGTTTACTAGGCTACTTAATATCTCTGATTATGCTGTCAGTATAATCATAGTCTCCTGAAATGAACACAAAGTTGCTGAATGCAGGATTAAGACTTGTATTTAAACTAAGGCTACAGAAAAGGTTTCAAATACATTTATAAGGGACAATCAGATGCAACTTCAAGTCACGCTCACTAAAATCCTATTTTCTTTCAGTTTCTAAAGGAGTCTGTGTTTTACTTTCAGTTGACTACAGAAGCACGCTGTAAGCTTGTCAGCTGGCTCATCCCCGTACACAAACACCTCCATCTGTCCTTTGAGTGCTGCTGCCTGGCGGTGAACATCATGGATAGGTTCATGGTTACCACACCAGTGGCTGCTGACTGCTTCCAGCTACTGGGTGTCACTGCACTCCTCCTAGCAAGCAAACAGGTGTGTATTTTAGTTGTAGAAGCTTTAAGAACAAAAACTTGGGGATTTTGTTTTATTTATAACATTTATTTTCTCCGTGTTACCCAGGTAGAGGTGTTCTCACCGCGGATCAGCCATCTCTTGTCAATGTGCTGTGACGCCTTCACTAAGGAGCAGCTATGCAACCTGGAGTGTCTCATCCTCCTCCGCCTCAACTTCCGCCTCTCTGCACCTACACTGGCCTTCTTCCTAGACTATTACACCAACTGCATTGAGGATGCCCAGCTTGAGTCTGAGAAGACAGGTGGTGGCAGATTTGAAAGAACAAATACAGACACAAAGAGATCCGGGCAGTGCAGCAGCCTAGCACAAAAGGTGTGCGAATTAAGCCTTGCAGACTATGCTTTCAACAAATATCCACCATCTTTGACTGCTAGCTGTGCACTGAGGATAGCCAGTGAGTTATTGACAACAGAACAAGGGTTTTTTGAGCATGCAGCCATCCAGCTACAGGACAAGTGGGGCTATTTTGTTGATGAACTATGTACCCAACCATCTGACAGCCCTGATCTATCTGAGGCAGACTCTCAGGCAGTAAAGGGCCACTTCTTGTATGTGAGTCAGGGGAAGCACACTCTAGCCCAGGAATGCAAAGAGAACCTGTTGCTGTTGGTGTCATTAAACCAGGAGACAATGGAAATGATGTCTGCCATGTGACAAGTGTGCCACCAGTCAAATGTTACCAAAATCACTTATTCCCCTCCTCATTGGGATTTATATTCTCCGGGCGGGTTGTATGAAGGTTACTATTTCAAAAGTGAAGTCTGATGTTTATACAATCAAATCATCATTTTTACCTCATTATGTTGATCTGAAGGAATGTTAATGCAGCATAATAGTTTGATTTATTTTACTGATACGGGTTATGTTTACCAATAAAGTATATTATTATATTCTGTTCATTTTTATTCTATCAGTCACCGTTTACTGTGTCTTTTTGCTATTGAAGATATGTTACTGTTGCAACATGAAGGATCTGGAAAATTGTACTGTGATTCATTGTTGTGTTGTATTATGAAATAAAATATCAGTAATTTTATCTGCGTTTTGTCTCTGAATGGATTATAAAATGTGGAGCCATAACTCACATATGATGAAAAACCACAAGGCATTTATTTGATATAACTCTGGCCATGGATGACACGGCATGAATGAGAGATCATGCAATTTAAATATACAATCAACACTTAAAATGGAAAGTTGATGATGTCCTCTTTATCTTGATTAGGGGGTAAACTCACTAGCATAAATTATTGCTCTGTAACATTTATGATCAGTATGACAAGAGCCCATTATATCAGATTGACATATATCCAAATGCAAATCTTGTCTATTGTAACTGTTTGCCCGGACCCCAGTTTACCATCCTCTTTACTTGACGTTGCATCACTCTTTACTGTGCCAACACAGCCTGGTCAATTGAGGGGGCTTTCTCTGATAATCCATTACGCGTGGCATCTCGACCTGCTGACACAGTGTCGACCACACAGGTGCATTCAGCGTTAAGGGTCAACAAGGCTACTCTTGTTTGTTTACTAATAGAGGTATTTGTCACGAGTGTTTACTAAGCTGTCTGCTATAAATGTCCTTTTCCTTTTTCCACTTTGCTTTAAATGTTGCAATAGACCTTGACCTAAATACATTTTACGCACAGCGGAATAATAATTACGCACTGAATTATGTGGCTATAAGAGACAAGGCATTGGTCTCTACTGTGCTGGCGGGCTGGTCAGCCTTGTGAGGCAGGCAGCAGTGTGTTGTTGTATAAAACAGACGTGGATAAATTAAGCCAGGCACTATTTACGCCTCTGGCTCGGCGCAGGGGATATTTGGCCGCAGGAGGAGGGAGAGCAGGTCTGTAGAGAGCACCTGCTGTAATGGCGCCGTTACGCGCGGTACCAGTTACACTTCACACCAGAAAAAAAACCGTTAGTCGGCACCAATTCAGTCTCCGAGGACGCCATCGCTCCCTGGAGACCAAATAAGTGCATTTGATTGGGCCAAAACTATGAGGCCGCGGCATGGAGAGACACAAACCGGGAGAATTTCGTCTATATTAGCTTTAAATCAAACCACGAACACTCAGTCCTGCAGAGCTGAGCTGATGAAGATGCAAAGAGACATGAAGTTGTTCGGTGCTGGGTGCCCAAACCAAATGAGCCAACAGGGGAGGAGGGCAGCAGGAAACAGAAAGGTATGACATTCTTCTCTTTAGAATGATGCACACAGCTCTTGAAAGTGGTGTTAACATACGTTCTATCCCTGCAGGATAAGATGGTGCCAAGAAGCAGCAGTCCAATCAATGTGTACGTCGAGCTCCCCTGCATCATTGAACAAGGTATATGCATCTCTGTTTAACTTCAGGCACTTCCTTAACACGTGTACTTATAATTACATCAGGTGCTCTCGAGAGTTCACTCATGGATCATCCCTTCTTTTGTTACAGCTTTATCCACAATTGCATGGAATGATTTGGAAGACTGTGCGTCTGTGGTGAGACGGCAGAGCGACTCCCTCTGCTCTCAGGTGAGGAAAAACATAGTATCAGAAATATATGCGTTATTGTTATTTAGAAACCTCATGGTTTTGTGACACCTCATTTATCATCGCATTTACCACCACATCGATCATCCAGAGAAGGGTGATAAATCAGATGCAGATCTGCATCAGGATACGTCTGTTAATGTTTGACACGATGTGCTGGAATTATGCACGAATGAGATTGTAGTTTGCTCATGACACGCAGACTACCGCTAATTGGCCGGACCTCCCATATTTTGTTCACATGCTGCCTCTTTGCCACAGCTCAACACTAAAATCACAACACGCGACGGAACACTTACCGAAATGATGAGCTATACATGTTCTGCCATACCGCCACATTACCCTGCTTGGTCGTGGTGGGACTTTCAGGTTAGGGGCATGAATGATTTCTCTGTCGACTATGTGTTTAATCTACAATTTGTCATTTAATCGTACATTTCAATTGCCAACAGGTAAATGAATCTGATGCAGATGACCAAGACTTCGGAGATTATGCACTGGATTTCATGGCAGGTAAGCAAAGAAAATAGTGTGTGGAGATGCAGCATTTATATATAATCCTAAATATGTGCTAGTGTATTTTCATCTTAATCCTCATCATTATTATTATCGTATTTTTAACATTGAGGAAATCCTTAAAATTCTCCCATGTTGTGTGTTTATCTGTCAGATTCTCCTGCCACGCTGGAGAGTAATCTGTCTCCAGCTGAACTGGTGCCATTTCTGGGATGTGTCATACCTCTCCTCACCCCTCAGCAGTATTTCTCTCCAGTGGAGAGTCTGAGCCACTCTTTCACAGAAGCGAGCGACCCATCTGTCCAAGATGGAGCTCCCTGGCAAGGCATCGCCCAGTGCCAAGGCAGGGCATTCGGAGACTCTATGGAAGTCAACAATCAGGTAAAACTTCACTGTGGCAACTATATGCTCCTTTTTTACTTGATAACTGTGGTGCACATGATAAGGTAATAGTCATATGTGATTTGTGTTATGGTGGATCTAAATGGTGCAATGTTAATATTTTAGATTTGATGGATGATTACACACAGCCCTGCTAATGAACATGATGAAATAAATCAATTGACAGGTTTCTACTCAATCATGGTCCTTCTGTTGTGTAAAGACTTTATAACATGATGCTAGGACAAGACACTATTCTTTTTTTATTTTTCCCAGTTGGTTGATATGTGTTTACAGGAGAGTTTGTGTAAACCAGCAATGAGCAAATGTTATGATTCAAATTACATAAAATAAACATCAATAAGGCAAAACACAACAAAATGCGTATACATGCACAATTAAGTAAAGCCCTCTGTTTGAGTAATGATTCCCTTCAGCATGACTCAACATATGTGTCTGTGTGCCTGCAGCTCCACGAGACTCTACACCGGCAACAAGAAGAGATTGACTGCCTTCAGGAGAGAAACCTTCATCTCAGACAGCTGGCCAGCCGAGCTAAGCACCTGGCCTCAGTGCTTGAGGTGAGTTCATGGCTGAGACAAGCACAGCCAAGCACCCTTTGCACAGTTTCATCCTGGACCCATGTTTAACCCTGTATTAATTAATCTCTATATACGTGTGTCTTCAGAAACTGATGACAGTCAGGGACCAAAGAGAACAAGTCATACCTTGCGGTGATAAAACTACACTGAGTCCCTGTAAGCGTCAACGACTGGATGAAGGATATGACACAGAGTCTTCTGACACAGTGGAGGACATGCTGAGGGACGTCAGCACACGCTGCAATGCCGTCCTGCACAACGCTGCTACTGGAACAAGACTGCCACAGGAATCAGAGACAATACGCATGTTTGGTGCATTCTCAGGCCTAAAGACTTCTATGTCAAAAGACAATAGCATGACGATGGATGCATCAAAGCTTCAAGAGAGTGTCTCATCCTTCAGAACGTCTGTGAGAGAACACAGCACCATAAGGACTCAGGTGTTTCCTCATGGACGTGCTTTCACTTCGAGGACTCAGCAAGGAGGATATCGGTTCCGCTGGCTTCCCAACGACAGCTGAAATTATGGTTAAAAGATATACAATTACATCCATTAATGTTTCTAATTAGTGATGGAAGGAAGTGTGGGTGGTAGTTACTGTTAATGCCTAACTTATAATCTATAGGGAGATCTGTAAATGATTCAATGTCTTTCTCAGACAGATTTGGCCTGTCAGCCAATCAGTCAGCTGCCTAACAAAGGAAATGATACTGCCACAGCTTTTGTTTTCATTGTGTTTCTGTTTACACCACTCAAAATCTTATAATCGAGCCAAACAATGCAGCAATTCAATTTTTTCTACACTTCACAACATGTTTTGTCTTGAAAAATAACAAATGATTTTATAAGCTTTGAAATAAAAGTTGTGTATTATAAAGCTGTATTGGAGGGATTTTTATCACAGAAGGAGGTGATGTTCAAACAAATGGAAAGAAACTGTTTTCAATGTGAACTTACCTTGTTTGAGCAGTGAAGCAAATATGACCCTGTGACCTTAAGGACTTCCTTTCCTTTTGTCTGTGTCTGGGTGACTGTGTGGTCTGAAAAAGGGCACATGTCATGATGCATTGCAGCTAACATCCTTGTTTACATCATTCGTTCCTGAAAGAAAAATGTCTTCTGAATTCATGACTTCTAAATCTTGTTGGCAACAGGTGTATAAAAAGTATTCCCCATGAGAAAGGTTCAAGAAAAACGTTGATTATAAATCATAATTTAGACAGTTAAAGGAAATAAGAGGAAATCAAAATATGAAGAAGAGATTCAATTATTTTAAGAGTATGTGACCTTCTGACCTCTGGTATATGTAGGCTGCATGTGATCTTTCTCTAACCTTACGGTTGAGGGCATTAGCTGTAAAAAAAAATGGGATGGTGCGAGGCGGGCCAATCCAGAGGATAATGTCGAACCTCAGGTCAGACACCTGTTTAAACTCCCCAAACCTGAGCCTTTTTACTTTAGAGCATGAAGGCAGCACTGCAGCCCTGGGATGGCAACACTTGACAGTACTGTCATGAAATAGGATGTGACAACATAAACAAAGATAAGAAGAGCCTGATCAGAGTTTGTGGCCTGATCTATCTGAATTATAATACAGCTTATGTCAGAAGAAAGTCTTTGAAAGCTGAATGACTGGTTAATTAAACTGTTTAACATGTAGCAGTTTGGTTTATAGGCTATTGAAAACAACTGTGTAAGTCCTGAAGTACTCAGCTCTTATAAATGCACAGTGTAAGAAGGTTCTTCAATAAAATATTGGTCAAATAAGATAACACAAGGATTAGCATCCCTTTACATACCAATATTAAAGTATTCATGCTTAACTTCACATTTCAGTTTAATATATATCAAAATACTGTATATATGAGGCTTTACTTTATTGTGGCAGCTGACAAAGTGTGTGTGGGGGTTTATTTTTGCTTGGGTAGTTTGTGATTTATTAAGGTCTTATCTTGATTAATAGAATTCAATTGTACCATCATAATTGTATTTATTTAACTAAATCTTTGAAGTTATAATATATAAACGTATACTAAAGTAGCCTATTAAAAAGTGCAATGTTTCATTCTGAATTGCAGTAGACTATACAAGTAGCTACAAGTACCTGAAAATGCTAGGCTACTTGATTAAATAGTAGGCCAACTTTCCACCCATAAAATCGAGGTACAATGGTCTGACTAACCCTGACCACGCTGGTTGACCCGACATGATTATTGTTAACCATTTAACTCCCAGCTGCCAACGTAAACCACACTGGACGCTTGTTGTCATACCTCAAACCTTCACACCCAGGCGCTCCTTGAGCCACTTTTACTGCAAACAAACAGGTCCGCGTGTCACTGACCAGCAGCGCCGGGGAGAGCGGGCAGGCCGGCCTTTGTTAAACTGGTTGTGACACATTTGACCGGTTAAGCTACCGCCAAACTGCGGGGGACAATAAGGGAGGGGAAAGGGAAAATACACACACAATGAGTTTCTAAGGTGACTGAAGCCAAACCTAGAGGGATTGGGTATACCATTCAGACAAAGTCCCGCGGGTAGAAACATATTCATATTCGTTTTTCTGTGGAGGGAGGGATGTTGTTGACTGCTCAAGGTCTCAAGGCAAATATAACTGGAAAAAAAAGAATTATTATTATAAGTGTGTATTTTTAACGCAAGCTACAATAGGCTATACTTTAAAGTCATAAAATGAAGAAAACATGCCATATGGGCAATTAAGACAAACAAACTGCCTAACACACCCACAAATAAAGCAGCATTTAGCAGTGTTGTCTGATTATATTAAACAGCACTATACGATTGTTTATAATATAGCAATACATTTTAATAAATGTATGATCAATCTAGATGTGAATAATGCCCTTTAACATTATACATTGATCTGTGTGGATAAACTTAAGGTGGGACGATTTCAAAAGTAGACTTATGTGATTTGTTATGACTGCATTGTGGTTGCCTGTTGAAGTAGCTCTGATGGATGTGCGTGTGCTGCTTAATGCACGCACCTCTCGCACAGTCAGGCTCGAGCCCGGTGTGGGCGCATATGGAAGTGGCAGATGGCGCGAACGTGCGTTCCTCGCGCCGTTCAGCCCACTTAGCGCCAGAGCAGATCATCATTAAAACGTGTGGCCCGCGGACACACAGCCTTTTCCCGCAAAAACAGATTATTGTAAAAGAGTAGTTCCATGTCTATCCAAAACATACTAATTTACCTGCATGCATTATTTATTTTGTTGGTGTTTTTATTCTGAAAAGTTACACATAGCCTATTTGTATTATTATATTTGTATTGTTAAGTAAAATGTTATTCCACTTTATACTTGTATTACCTTATAATTGCAGTGAAGTTGTAATAAAACAAAAATATTTATCCACGAATTTTATTTTATTTATTACGTTTTTACCATTTGCAACCTATAAACTGCTAAAATGTCTATAATTTGTTAACATAAGACGAAATAAACAATACTAGAATATACTGTTACTATAAAATGATTTATTTATTTTTCCCTGCCCATTATTGAGGAAAATCTTATTTTGAAAAGGCCTATAGCCTTTACATTCCTTCGTATTTCCCTTTAAATATTTTATCACGATTCATGCTTTAAATGGCTTGTGATTGAAATGTCTCATACATCTTAGCCATCAATGTATTTCCCTTATAATAATACCAACTCATTAATCATTATTTTTCTCACGACATAAATCTGGCAGTTAGGTTATAATCTGTAGAGGTTGACAGACCTAAAGAAATAAGTTTGTCCTTGTCCGGGTCATTAACTGATAACATGTTGCCGCCTCCACCTTGAAAACATTACCGCGTTGTTCTTTTTCAATGTGTCTATTGGTATCCAGTAGAAACCAGGACGCGGAGGGAATCCCTGACAAGAACTAATGAAAAACAAACTCAAACCTGAAGCGCCAATAGCAGAGCAGAGGAAGGGGCTTCCCGCTCCACCGTGCGCCCGGGGAGAGTATTTAGGAGCAGTCCGTCCAGGAGAGCAGCAGCAGGTGCACCAGGCAGGACAGAGACAGGACCTGCTGCTTTACGCAAAGTCATTACAACTGGAAATGAAGCCAGCAAGCGAAGAAGCGAAAGACTGGGTGAGTACAAACTAATATAAAAATAGCCTGATACATAAGCTATGTCCTTAATCACATTATGCTCTGTTGCTACCAGGCAACCCCTTAAAACACAGGGCTCTAAACACAGGGCGGTGTCTAAAATTAAGCTTTGCTTTTCAATATTGATTAAAAAAACACATTGACTTTGATCCATTGTATAATACAATAATCCACGACTTTATTAATAATGGATTGAAAAACAAACAGATTTCACCTAAGGAAGTTAATCGAAAGATATTGTTTTAGCATCACCTTGACGAAAGTCTTCTTGTTTTTATAACCAGGACAATATGAGAAGAATGCTGCGAGATTTTGCCAGAAAGAGAAGCCATTGTCCCTTCAAGGTAAGAGGGGAAATGTTGAAGAAATGTGCATTAAAAGGTTACATGTTGTGGCAGCCTCTGATCTGGTGGTGACAGTGTGGCAGTGTACTGCTGCTGGCTGTGCTACTGACTGACAGCTGTCAGCTACACTCCTCACTGCTGCTGCAACACAACTCAAACATCACACCTCATTCACCGGGGAAATGAAAAGTCAACAGCCGGGGAAAGGTTGGAGGCGACTGAATGAAAAAACCCTGAAATTGGACATTCAGCACAATGTCAAAACATTCAACTCAACATCACTTCAACCTAGTCAAACCTATTCATTTGCATTTACAGCAGGATGATTGGGGAGTGGTGGCTGGTCGGGAGGCAGTGTAATGTTAGCTGATGTTGCTTTCAACAGCTCACACTGCTCTGCTACCTTAACAGTTACATTTGACTACGTCTATCACTTGTTCCCTGAACGCTCATGCACTTTATGTTAGCAGATCAGGATTTTAGGAAGCTTTGCACAGTAGAGGATGTCCAATAAATGTTGGTATTTTTATACTTGAGCTTCTGGAATACAATGAGCTAGAAAAAAATGATTAAGGAAGATACAAAAAGAAAAATGCTCATATTGTGGGTGGTTGGTAGGCAGTGTCTTGTTAGCTGGTTTGTTCTTTGTGTGCCAGCTTACCTGCTGCTGCCCTCCAACTTTCCATTCAAACCCACACCAACAAGCCAGGAGATGCTGCAATTAATGTACTTCAATTTTAAACAGCAAGTTGGGATTCAAAGTTGCAGGTGTTGATTTGTGACTTATAGCAGACATTCAAAAAAACTGTTTTAAGTAATGTCAAATAACAAAATCACCTTTAGAATACAAAATAACAGTGACACTATGCATTTCTATTGCAATACTTGCAAGTTAGCATCCAACTTGGCATCACCATTCTGCATTCAAAATGTGGATTTATTTAAACTGAACAAAGTATCTTCAGCTCCCCAATCAATTAACTATGATGACGTAATCCTATCACATTACGTCATCAATGGGTGATTTACAATTTGAGGTCTCAAATCAGTCAAAAATCGGCTAAAAAGTTATGCTTCACTTAAGAATTTGATTTTAATGTAAACATTTGAAAAAGATGGTACAAAAACGCAAACTGAACATTTGAAAAATCAAACACTTCAATGGCTAGGAAATCCTTTGGCTGCAGCAGTGGTCATTATAAGGAATGTTCATCATGATTGTCATTATTAACCGATGTTTCCCACGCACCAACACACACTCCAACTATCTTTGAATGACTGAAAATTGATATTTTCATTCGGCAAGTTTCTGGAGCCAGACTTCACTAACCACCCTCACTGTAGCAGCTCAGCGTTCAGTCATTCATTGCTATCAAAGCAAAGGGAATATGGGCACAACACACTTGGATGTGTCCCGTATCCATCTCCATCATAGCTCCACCCGTTTCTTTACGATAATTTCTCGCACCAACGCCGTGGCCTCTTCTCGAACGCTCTCTATAGGCTCGTCTGTTCGCCAGAATCGGACCACATTACCCTCTGGATTTACTAGAAACTTCCAGAAGTTCCACCTGGGACTTTTCTGCACAGAATCTGAAACACAACACATTAGTATTCACTCATTAATGATGCATCTAACCTAAATATAAGCAAGGAACGCTGATGACGCTCTTCCCTGTCCAGTGCTTCTTATTAATAAACTGTAAAATATAGATTATTGCTCCTGATTATGTCACACTGACTTAATTTAATGTTGTAAAGTATCAAATAAAATCACACCTCATAACAGCAACTTTGCCACATAAGTAATTGTTCTCAACTCAAGACACCTCATTGCATTGATTCAAAAATCAAAGATAATAAAGTGACCTTTTACTACAATATAAACGGTTTGACAAATAATTGTATTATCGTAAGGTCGATATAACTCACTTCACACACTGAATAATCAGTACAGTTTGACATAGATCTCTCTGAAGTGAATGGAATATACAATGAGTAGCTGCTTTAATGTTATCTATCATTACAATAAATTAAACATGTATACAAATTAATATTAAGCCCAAATCTATTTAGTTTTTATAAATAGGTATCAAATACATTTCAATAACCTCAGAAGTTCACAGGCTAGTTTTCCAGATGTTCTTTAAGATGCACGCACGACTACATATAAACTTAACCATTAGGTTTTCCCTATGAGGAAGCATAAATATGTTTTAGTTGTATATTTAGTTTGGGACATGACAGTTATCTATAGAAGTCAGGTGTTAAAACTTGTTGCAGCTTCATAATGCAAAGGCTTCCATTATAAACTGAATACTATTGACTAAAATTGAGTTGCAGCCACGGGTCATTGTGTTGCAGTGAAAGTAAGGTCCAGATTGCACTTCCTGCCAGACAGCTGGTAGGGTCATTCCATAAATCATTCAATTATCATCTTAACCCAAATAAAATAAAATGTGATGTGACAGATGTGGTTATGCCCACCTGTGAGGAATTTGAAGGCAGGGTCCGCCTCTGAGCCCATTATTTTGATCCTGCTGAAGAAGGGGAAGGTGACTCCGTAGGTGGACTTGGCAAAAGCCTCGATGTCCCGGCTGGTCCCGGGCTCAGTGTCCCCGAACTGACCGCAGGGGAAGGCCAGCACGTTGAAGTGAGAGGTGCCCAGCTCCCGGTGCAGCTCCTGCAATGAGAGGTAGTTCATCTCCGTCTGCTCGCTGAGACTCGCCACGTTTACAACCAGAGACGCCTGTACAGGAGAAACACGGTGTAACTGTTATGTGCTAAAACTACAATTTCAATGAAAAACACAACAAACTGACACTGGATAACTTAGAGTTTGCACAGATGTTGTTTCAAACTGAAATGACTGGTGATGATGTGGACTTACTTTCCCTCGGTACTTCTCCAGAGACACCGTCCTCCCCTTCGCGTCTTTCACCTCAAACGAGTAAAAATCAGTTGGTTTCCTCGGCTTCACAAGCTGAGTCTGCAGGAGAAACAAACACCCGACCCCGACTGTCATGCTCAATAAAACTGTCAACTTTTTCGCATTTGGGTTGGAGGACTTTGTGCGGTAGCCCCCTAAGGCCTCCATCTTGGAGGGGGAAGAACAAACCGAGGAGGGTTATGGCTAGAAAGGATCCGTCTAATGTAAAACTCTCGCGAGAGTTTGCAATAATGCTGAATGTTTACGTTTGACAGGCAGCCTTTCAGTTACAATCGTTAACATCAGTGGGCCACAGCAAAAGATGGTGAGAAGCTAAACTATCTATTAATTATGTCAATTACAGGGAGTGTGATTGTTGAAATAGGGTGTTAGCGGTCTTGCTGTTCAAAGAAGAATGACAACACTGTAGATCACCAACACTATGATTTATTTTTTATTCACAGGCAAGTCAAAGTTGTCGCAGTAAAAGTCCCAAGATAGCTCCTGGTGCAATAAAATGTTCCCTTTCAGTGTTTCACTGTTATCCTGCTGCATTAATGTGTATGTTGCATGTTACTGCTGTAGAAGTGTTTCCGAGCCGCTCCAACGAGAGTTACAACGACAACGTGACGTCATATTTACACAAGACGGATCCTTTCTAGCAATAACCACCGAGGAGTTAGCGGGGGCTCCTACATAAAATCTCGGGGCGGACCAGCGGAAGAGGAACACAGATATAAATTATAAAACACTAGCACGATACCGGAAGCCAACAGAACCGCAGTGACGCGTCCAAAAACCCGGAAGTAAGTTAGCATTTTTAGCACTTCCGGTTCCTTCGTCAAAAAGCAATGCATTTTTTCCATAGGGTTTTGGAAAATAGCTCGAAATAAGGTCTGTNGGTAATCATCTTATCTTAATTAATTCAAGAAATATACTTTATAATTAGTGTGCAGCTGGCAGCCTATTTTCAATATGGATTATCTACCATTTTATTTCTTTAGTTCAATTATGTTCTTAAAAATGTCAAATGTGAAATGTTCACGAGCTTTAAGGTGCAAGGTTTATATCTTTGATGTTTTGTTTTTAGCCTATGTTACTGTATGTCCTTAATGCTCTTATGTGACGGTGACTTCCGCATTAACCTAATATTTATTACTTCCCAACAGCGAGCTGACGGGGAACATAACACTCTAACAACCACAACATTGCAAAGGCCGGTAAATGTAATTAAACGTCACAATTTTTTTTATTTCTTCTCTTTTCAAATCTGCAAAGTGAGGTGGTCTGCTCAGCCTTGCATCTTGGTGCCAGTTAAGGTGTTCCTCACGCAGGCTGAATGTTTCTCCTTCCTTACTGACAGCGCCTTAGATTTGCAATGCTTACTTAATTGTCATGGTTCCTGGCTCCGTTAGAACACTTTTAGCTCCAGATAAAGCGATAAGCCAGCCTTCTACCTATAGGCCATTGGAGATGCCCCCTTCATCCTGACTCATGACCTGCATTTTCGGTTGCTCCAGTGGTGATGCCTGAGGCCGCTGACATTGTTCCTGATAGTCCTGTGATTTGATCTTACTCCGCATCAAGTGTCCTGTTTTTGCATTGCAAGTGTGGAGTAATCCCGAAGTGGGAAAAGTCTTGCGGGTACACCCTTGACTCGAGAAAATTCAGCTCAACACGTTTTAGCAAATGGCAGTCCGCGCCTCTTTCCTGATCATTTTAAATGTCTCCAGTTCGGAGACATGTTGGTTCGCTGAGCCAGCAGCCAGCATGTGTTGGGTTCGCCGTCTGCTTGCGCCCACGTTTTGACCTACGTTGCATCTTTCAGACAACGCCTTAGCTTGCCCAATGTACCCCAGGTTCTTTGACATTCAGCTGAGTATGTTTTTCACAGGTGCTTGAGTCCCTCTTCGGCTCGAGAGCCGAAATGTGCCTGTGTAACCTTTTCAGCCGATTAATGTTTTCGGCGGCCGAGCTTTCGGGTGCATCTCCTGCCTAGCACACTAATAATAGTGATTGATGGCAATATCCTCCACTGAATGCTGTACGTTTAGCTGCCTTTGGCTTCTTCCACTGACAGGGGGTGTCAGTGCAGCTGAAATTGTGGATGGCAAAGATGGCTCATGCAGCCGCATGACTGCATTTCATTCTCCACATGGGCATTCACATTTTTGTGGAGATAATTCCCTCTTCTCCTGTAGATACCCTGTGGTGGTGGATTGTTTTATTATTTAAAAAATATATTTACATTTGTAATGCCTTCCCAATTATCCCTTTTAATTGTTATAGCCTACTGTATGTTTATTTCATGGATATTTCTGTTGTTTTCTGGTGTGTGTTTGTAATCTTGGGGCCTCTTCTCTTTAACGTCACATGCTACCACTGGCCAGATAATTGAAGAACAACAAAATAAGTTACCATAGCTATGCGGATGACACACACAATTTACGTAACCATTTCACCAAGGAGACTATGCTCCAATTCAAACACTGAGTAAGTGCATTGAACAAATTCAATGACTGGATGTGTCAGAACTTTCTCCAATTAAACAAAGATAAAACTGAGGTAATGGTTTTTTGGAGCCAAGGCAGGACGTTTAAAAGTTAGCGCTGAGCTTCAGTCTGCAATGTTCAAAACAACAGATAAAGAGCAGAAATCTAGGTGTAGTCATGGGACTCTGACCTGAGTTTCAACAGTCACATTAAAACAGTTACTAAATCAGCTTACTATCACCTAAAGAACATATCTAGGATTAAAAGACTAATGTCACAGCAGGATTTGGAAAAACGTGTCCATGCTTTTATCTTCAGTAGACTGGACTACTGCAATGGTGTCTTCACAGGTCTCACTAAAAAATCTATTAGAAAGCTTCAGCTGATTCAGAACGCTGCTGCTCGAGTCCTCACTAACACTAAGAAAGTGGATCACATCACTCCGGTTCTGAAGTCTTTATACTGGCTTCCTGTGTGTCAAAGAATAGATTTCAAAATACTGCTGCTGTTTATAAAGCACTGAATGGTTTAGGACCAAAATACATTTCTGACCTCCTGCTAAATTATGAACCATCCAGATCTCTCAGGTCTTCAGGGACTGGTCAGCTTTCTGTCCCCAGAGTCAGAACTAAACATGGTAAAGCAGCGTTTAGTTATTATGCTCCAAATATCTGGAACAAACTCCCAGAAACTTGCAGGTCCGCTGCAACTCTTACTACTTTTAAATCCAGGCTGAAGACTTTTCTTTTTGTCGCTGCTTTTAATTGAACCATTCATATCTTAGACTGCACTGTAACTTTTATCCATGTATTTTTTCTTTTAATGTTTCTTTTATTAGCTTTTCTTTTTAATGACTGATTTTAAATGCCATTTTCTTAATGTCTTTCATTTTTTGTAAAGCACTTTGAATTGCCTTGTGTTGAAAAGTGCTATATAAATAAACTTGCCTTGCCTTGCCTAATAAAGATTTCATGTGACCCATAAAATGGATTTGTTGATGGGAATTAATGTGAATAAATTAACTCTAGGTTAACGGTACTCTTGCTATCACTACTCACCGACACTATAAACCTTGTCCCTCATGCTAGCCCTGACAACACCGGTAAGCACACCTTCATCTAGGCTGCACTGTTACGTGTCCTGACTTGTAGTGGTTCTCTCCTATCTACACTCTTCTTGTCATCTTTGTAAAACGATATCAGACTGGTAATTGACACAGCCATGACTTCTAGTTAAATTCAGTGTGGCTAAAATGAAAAGCTTTGTTAAAATATGCAAGTGTGCGAAAGTCAAAGTCAGCTTTATTGTCAAAAATTCTACATGTGTTATAAATCCAGAAATATCGAAATATCGTTTCCAACAGTGTGACATGTATACATAAAACAAATCAAAAAGGGCCTTGATAAACGTGGTATACATTAAACAAACAAAAAAGGGCCTAGATAACCGGGGTATACAGTTTAATTTAGTTAATATATTTAAAGTGTTCAAAGTGCAGTTTCAGTGCAAGTCAGTTGAAACGATCTTAAGTTGGCGTGACGTTGAAGTCGTGCGACCCTGCTGCTGTACTGGCTTGTAGTTCGTCTATAGCATAACGTTAGCATTTCGCTTCTGGCGACTAGATTTATCATTCAAAAATTAGAAAAGTAGGGTTGACATGTGGAGATTATCCGGCTGAACAAAATGTGTGTCAACCACAGACCTTATTTCGAGCTATTTTCCAAAATCCTATGGAGAATTTGCATTGGTTTTTGACGAAGGAACCAGAAGAAGTTTACTTCCGGGTTTTATGACGCGTCACTGCGGTTCTCTATACCATTCCAAATAAGAACAGTAAACGTGATCCACTCAAAAAGCATTGTAAGTGCCATCGTAAAGGTAATGCGTTTCCATTGCGACATTAAACCTCTCAATCCAAAATAGTATTTTCATGATTCCGTTTGGTATGTTTTGCATCGTTCCCCCTAAAATATGAAAAATCATTTCATTTTCATTAGTATTAACACATTTGTGCAACTCTTTTTATTAGGGTGTTCCGAGTAAGATACTGCTGAACATTAGGTTAGGCTACATTTATATATTAAATAGGCGTAAAGCAGAAATTAAACAAATCAATAGCTCTAAAAGTTAAATTAGCCTATGTGCTTACAATAATGTGTTATAAATGGTCGCCGAAAAGCGGACGCTTATAACCTGACTGCGCCTCCCAGCGTGAGTAGCCTTCTTATTTCTTCTTCTTACACTATATTCGCAATTAAAAGGCATTTACCATGCTTTTACTTGGAAACGTAACCGGACGTCATGTTGTGAACACTGCCAGCTTAACACTAGTAAAGTTGTGGTATTTTGAGTTTGCAGAGGTAGGAAGTTGGTGTCAGTTTGCAGTATTTGAGATGTTTAAGACTCGCATTTATTTCTGTTAAAATCATGTTTCTGTCTCTCCAGGGACCAAACGATGGCCATCACGTCTCGTACAGGCGGTTCAGGAGAAGGATCATCCAGAGGAGCAGCAGTGAGGGTCCAGCTGCGAGCACACCTCTGGCCACTGGGGGGCAGAGGGAGCCCAGGTTTGATCTGGAGGCAGTCTGCCAGAGACTGGAGCTGGACTCCCCTCCGAGAGACCATGAACCAGCACAGAGACATCTGCAGGGAAACCTTCATGGTATTATTCAAACCCCAAGCTAAGAATGTATAAGACACACACAAATACTTATATCAGCTTCTTCCCTTCTGCTACCGGC